GTTCATAAACTTACAACCTCAATTCCAAGAAGTTGTAGACGCAATGGAAGTCAATGGTGAACCAGATATAGCTGGTATTTTAAGCGCGGCTTTAATGCCATTGAAAGATATGAAAGATGCAGATATTTTGGACCAGTATGAAATGAACATGGCTGATGGAAATATAACACCTGACGTTCTAGAACATTTATCTCAAAGAACTACACAGAACCATAGAGATGGTATATTTGGTGAAGAGTTTAGAAAGAAAGTTAGGAGAGCGAAGGAAGAGAACCTATTGTACATGACCTTGCAAACGAAAGTTTACAAAATGTCATAAAAACTTACTTTGCAGACAATGAACCGAGAAGGGATGAATATTTAAGAAAACTCAAATGGACAGTACCAAATGAAATGTTAGTATTGAAAAACATGTTCCTTGACAAAATAAAACCAACTACAGAAATAAACGACGCAAGACTGAAAGATTGGGTAAAAGCTTTCCCATTCACAAAAGATATAGTTGGTAACATGGAAAGAAAACCAGAATGGCTACAAAAACATATATTTGGAAACGAGCATATTCCATATGGACAGGCACTGTTTGAAGAGCTTGAACCAGAAACTCAGGAAAGAGTCATGCAAACAATACGCGAAGACTCAAATACAGACTATGACAAACTCTTTCTAGGATATAGGTTACCTGAGATGGGCGACCAGAGCCAAAAGGCAAAAAGGACATGGGAAATTTGCAACATACTAGATGAACATAATGCAAAGATGCAACAACTTCAAGCAGAGGGCAATGAAGGAAAAAGAAGAGTTAAAAACTCAGTCAGGAAGAAAGTAAAGCTTGGTCGGAGTGGGTTCTATTATGACATATAAATCCAACTATTCTATATTTTTACTCATATGAAATGTACGCCGCTCAGAATATAACGCCAACAGTTTTGGATGCTATGAATGGAAATGTTTCCGAATGGTATAACGAATGCGACAATGCCATTAGAAGGTCAGAAATAGTTCCTGGAACTTACGAATATACAACTGCTGTTTCTTATGGAAACGTAGGTGAGTTTGGAGAAGGTTCTTCAACAACAGTAGATATTGCTTGCGACAGGTTTCATATAATTTCTATTGACAACTCTTTCTTATACGTGGAACAAGACATTGAAATAAAACCTTCTGCCAAGTTGTCTGACAAGAAAGGTTGCAATGGAATTTTCTATGTCGGATACCAATATGCTCCAGAAGTTTTCATGGGATATAAGATATATTCTAACTCTGACTTAGTTCAAACAGTAACATGGGCAAACTATGAATGGTTCGCTTTGAGAAACTCAGTACAACCACAAGCTAGAGAACAAACAGACCAGTATGCAACTATTGAGAAAATAAGAAGACTTGACCCTAACGTTCCAGGAGTTTATGTTAACCTTTCTGGACAAACTGCAGCAGCAGTAACCAAAGTAAAACTGAAACTTAGAGTTCCTTTGTCATCTTTCCTCATCTTCAGGTTTTTAAGATACTTGCCAAACTGGGCAGGAAAAATTTCTATCGAACTTACTCCAAGCAAAAATAACTTAGTCATTGCACCAACACAAGACCCATTCACTCTTACAGAAGTAGTGGGAACAAATAAAATGTCATTCGCCGACTTTTGCAAAAACAAAGTTGACTTAGACTTTGGTTTCTCAAACCTCAACACTGAAGTAAACTATTATTTCAATGCTGCTGGAGATGCTTGGGACCCAGTTAAGTTCACATGCGAAAAGTTTGAATGCAAGAGAATAGAAAGCAGACTTGCAGTCTATATGTTGGACCCAGATATTTCAAATGCTTTAGCTGCCAAATATATTGCAGTTCCACTTATGTTCCCTATACACCAAATATCTGTCAAAGACTTTGCAGGTGAAGTTGGAAACCAAAGTGCTGACCCAGGTGCAAGAACAGATATTGCTTTAACAACTGCAATGAAACATGCAGATACTATGTTTGTACTGTTCAGACGAACTATAAATGACTATTCTTGCTTCTACAACCCTGGTATTAAATACCATATAAACATAGATGGCAAATATTATCCAAGAGAAGAATATTCTACAGTTGAGGATATGAGGTCATACAACTTGACATTAGATGCTATGAACTTTAACAACAACTTCACAACAACCATTAACCCTGAAATGCAAAGTTCTATTATGCCATATGTGAAAGTATGGACTCATACAGGAGGTCAAAAAACTCAATATACAAATGGAGACCGTTCAAACTTTTGGCTTGGCATTCCATTTGCTGACTCAGAAGACTTTATGGGTGGTATTTCAACTGTTGGTACAGTTCAAATACAATATACTGGTGACAGAGACGGTCCAGATGAATTGAAAGCAAAGAAGTTTACAAAACCAATAGCACTTTTCACGGAAGATGCTCTTTTGAAGATTCGTTCGATGAAACCTGCTGGGGCTCCTCAGATTGGCATAACGACAGCTTCCATCGAGCAGATTTTGGCAGCAGGTCAGTAAGTTGTTCTTGAACTGACTTCTCTCCGTCAAATATTGACAGTACGCCAGTTTTGACATAAAATTGTATTATAAACTTACCTTTAGAAATATCGGTCAGTTTTGTTGTTATATTTTTGTCTGCTTCAAGAACTTTCACCATTCTCGGTTATACCAACTTTCTTTGCTTTATGAAAATATTTTGGTTCAGCAAAGACTGCTATTCTATAACATTTTCCATTGTTTGTATAAAGAACTATTCTGTCAATGAACTTGTATTGTTTGTGTGTGTAAACTTTGTTTTGCTTCAATTCGAAGAGATACTCAAATACGTCCATCTTTTTATTCTAAGTAAAATGTCATTTCCGAAAAATAGAAGCGTAAGTGTTTCAAAAGGTTTAATGGCGGTGGCAGATGTGAAGTTAAATTCACCAACTCAAACAAACAG